GACGACGGGGGGGGGCGGCTGTGTAGCGGCGACACCTCCTACATTGCTAGACATCGTCGCTACTTCTTCCTAGGGGACTCCCTCTCTGAACGAGGTCCACCCAAACAAGGTTCTCCTAGGAAAAATAGAGGAGGAAGGGACAGACTCTGACAACTCTAAGCAGAGTCGTGACTTGTATTTAAGTTGGTTCCCAAATATAATTGTAACCTAAATGCACGGAAACTCCAAATTATCTCCACGTCCTACTGAGAATTGTTGGGACCTTTACTCAACCCTTAAGAGGTTGCAAACCAAAGGAACCAGATTCAGTTCAAAAACGAGACGGTTAACGTAAATACGAAGTTTTTTTTGTTATGCGTCACCACAATATACACCCTCTTAGTGTGACGACTTGGTTTTGTGGACGTTTAGTATTGCACAACCGAAACGGTTTATAGATAAAGACGGTCTATGTTTCCAATCTTAGCCTTTTAGGTACCTAAAACAGATTCCCTTGGGAACGTTACGAATGAAAGAGCCAAACCGGATTTCTTATGTAGGTAGTGTCGTGGGTCGTGGGATATATCCTCACAAACCATGAAAACACATGTGTGTGTTTGGTCACGATAATTTAGTGTCGGATTTATCTATATAGTCTTCCAACTTCCTGTACGTATGTACGAATCGTATTGTATGGGTGTGACTCTCTGTGGTCACCTCCGGAATTGCTGTAGTGTGTGTGTGTGTGTGGTGTGTGTGTGTGTGTGTGTGTGTGTGTGTGTGTTGTGGTGTGGTGTGTGTGTGTGTGTGTGTGTGTGTGTGTGTGGTGTGTGTGTGTTGTGTGTGTGTGTGTGTGTGTGTGTGTGTGTGTGGTGGTGGTGTGTGTGTGTGTGTGTGTGTTGTGATCGACCAACTCTTAAAGGAATATATTTATTTTTATAAAGGGGGAATGAAATTTTATGTAAAGGCGTACTGTCAAATGTGTTGGGTGACAGGATGGTTGTACTAAATGTAATGTGGTGGTGCCCGTGTAGTTGACGTTTCCCGTCTCTGCTGTCGGGGGATAGTAGAGGGCTCGTGACCTCGGCGTCTCAGCAAGGTACCGGTTTTAAACCTAAAGGTGACAGGGGACATATATTACCTGGGTAGTTTTTATTACCTTGATAAAACATTATGAATGTACAGGAGAAGCCCGTTTAAGGAAGAGGAGGAGGAAGTTGTCTCGAGTCTTCAGATTGCACCCCTGAGAGCAATGAACTAGGTTTAATTCACATCTTGAACCCAGACACGGAGAAAAGAAGGCCCCCCCCCACAGAGCTGCTATCACTGCTCATTGGCTCACAGCAATCTCTGACCAAACACTATCTGTGGAGATTTAGAGAAATTAACTAATTTGCATACTTTTATAATGTATATAGTATCCTCTGCTTTTCTTTTTTAGTGATAAGTTCTACAATTGTAGAGTATTGTAACTTCCTCTGTATATTTTACATTGAGCATTCTTCAGATAGGACGTATATAACGCATAATGCTGCTGTGACAAAACAATTCACCAATTTGGGAACAATAAGGTATATCTAATCTAAAAATTCAATACATCTGAAGATATGTAAATAAATACTTTAACATAAAATGGTCACTCCTAGATATTGAAGAAAAGATTTTTTTAAATATTGAAAAATCTTGTTAATTTGAGGTAAGTTGGGGCTTTGGAGCCTGTTAGTTTGCTCTGTTATTTCAATAAAGCTTATAGGAATCGTGCTTTTCTCTTTGATATATTTTTTTAATGTAATATTGCACTTCTTATGTTTGTTTGCAGATACAAGTTAAATATCCCGTGGTAAACACACGCTGTGGTCTATCGCATATCATCACCATGTTCCGCTATTTTTATCTGGCAGGTGGTCTGGGCTGTGTGTGGCTCTTCAGCAAACATCCACACAAACATCTCCCGCAGTTTTTTTTTTTTTAAATAAACAACACTGAATCTATCCACATCTACTGTTTCCATGTGAGCCTCGCTGCCTGAGCTGTTTCAGCGAGATGCTTACACACTTTCAAGTCTCTCCGATTCAGTGTAGCAGAATCCTAAGTAGGCGTCCGGATGCTTTGAGGCCATGGCGGAGTGCTGAGAGGAACCAGCCTCTAACTCTCAGTGACACACCCACGGAGACACAGGCAGACAGAGAACACACACCTTATGTAACCTGCATGCAGGAGTTTCAGCTTGTACACCACCTTAAATGAACTGCATGAAAAGATACCCACCGTTGCCATCTGTAAGTGATACATTCAGCAACGCACAGTGTATTTCTTCTAGATTTTAAATATGAATGCATATATTAAGAAACTCTAAAATCTCATCTCCTATTTCCTCTGCACGAGTAAGTCACCTCTCCTCTTCAGCGTCCTCTCTTCTTTTCTCTTCTCTAAAGAGTGAAAGACCACCATGATCTTATGGGTATAAGATAAGATAGTGCTTTATTGATCCCAATTTGGGACGTTTTTGTGTTGCTGCAGCATAAAAAGACATGGCATTGTTCATACAAATTTAAAGACAAGAAATAAACAAGAAAGTAGAAAATATACTGTACATGTTGAATGTATCTAAAACATTTGACTTAAAACTGTATAAAAACTCAACTTATGACAGCTTCTGACATCCATGTATGCAAATACTGATGTATTCACTAAAGGTCACACAACTCCATTGCAGTGGAGCTAATGAAACGGACCGCTCCATTTGCTTTCCCTGAGTTTAGTGACATTTTCTTTTATCCCCACTTCAATACCTTCTGACTTTGCCTGCCCCCGCTGCGAGAAATCGTTCAACAGTGTATAGGTGAGGGCTAATGGAAAACTACCTTTGAGCCTTTCATTTGTGTTGAGTGTGTGATCGTCTCAAGTGAGAAGGAAAGTGCTTTTCGCCCCTTTTTCTTCCACATTGCATTAAACTGTAAATGTGGCATTCAAACTTTCATCAGATTTAATGACATTGTTTCTCCTATTAAGAACTTAAGAGGTATTAGTACAAGGACAAGGGAATTAAGAGGGTTTGTAAACATTTTCTGATTGCTGATTAAGTCCTCTTATCACCGCTTGTAGCACTGAAGTGTGTAAATCACATTCCAGGGTGGAAGCAATGCTCTGGTGTCGGCAAATTAGAGAAGTTTTTACCTCAAACTCATTTCCACTACCTTTATTCCTTCTGACTGTTAGCCAGCTATCATCCCTGATAGAAGCTCAACCTGGAAACGTAAAATACTGTAAGATGTTATTGTCGTTAATAGTAGAGTATCATGCTCTGTCGTGATATTTTAATGGACCAAAAAAAATAATCAACTTTTTTCTTTTTTCTTTTTTTTTTTTTACACTTTAAGATCCATGATTGTACTGTATTCTGTGTAAACTATACGTTGTGCCCTTTGTGCACTAGCTTAGCTAATTTAATGGACAATAAAGTAATCTATATCTACATTTGTATTGGACGCCATGGGGATGGGGACAGAGATGATACACATGTAGCAGATGGTAAGGAGTGATAATCAATGTGAACACTTGTGATATTTTGTTGAAAATGTACAGTATTTCAAACAGAAATCTACCGTGACCGACAGCTGCAAATGTGCTCCCCAAAACACTTCCATTAGAAGATACACGCTGCAGTTTCAAAAACAATGCAGATATAAAAACACAAATGTGCCAAAACACAAAGCACAACAGTCCCAGCTGTGTGCATCACTTTTTAGTGTCCCTGTTTGTGTTTTGGGATTGTTGAAGCGTTTTGTATTTGCAGGATTTCGTTGACGTTGCGCATATTTCGTCAAATTGTAATCCGTTTGCATCTGTCGGCCATCGTAGAAACCTGGACTTGTTGCTGCAAATATTTTTGTTGCTAAATGTTTATTTTACCAAAAAATATGTGAAAAAGACTAACAAATGACAGGCATGTGAACTCTAACCCATGGTGTAATGAATTAACAGCTCTGCGGGAGCACATGCAGTTGATTGGTGCCCAGTTTTACCATGTGATACCCAGGCTAATAAAACCTCTCTAATTACACAAAGATTGAATACTTCCAGGGGGAAATATGTGTGAAAGCTTTTTTTCACAGCAGATGTTCAGCAACCCCACAGGTGTAACTAATAACTTGTTTAATGTTGTATTTCACTGCAATAGGTAGAACAGGGCCAGCCATTGTTACAATGATTAGAGCTCCCTGCTATGATAAGTCAAAATATCTGCTGGAGTAAAAACATTTCATGATTCATAATAATATTTGGAACGATATCAAAGTGCTCTGTTGCTTTTGCAAGGCTTTCATGTTTCAGGTTGGCATAATGTATTCAGAAAGAAAAGTAAAGTACAAGATAAGTTAGGATTTTTGACAAGAAGGAAAATAAACCTGGGGATGCTCATCAAACAAACACATCAGTCAAATCCAAAATATAAACACGCTCGTTTTTTTCTCGAGCTCCTTGTAGATATGGCAGCAGACTCCGGTGTATTTGTGCTAAAACTATAGCACTTGGGGGGGGGAAGTACATCAGAAGAAACTTGCAGTGTTAAATGTTTTGTCTACTCCACCTGCCTCCTACAACTTTTCCCCATGACGGGGTGTTAGCGGTTGATAAAGATGACAGAAACACATTCACCTGCTGCCTCCCCCGCAGGCTCCCTCCGACTTACAATATCTGTGAAGTTGTCTGAGTGTATCCCCGAGGCTTGTCCACCCTGTCAGTCTCTGAGCGGCCGTCAGTCTTCTCTCCTCTCAGCTTGTGAAACATTTCTCTGATTCTGCTCTTCATGTGTCTGACAGTGGCTCTGACAGCGGCCCACTCACTCACAGATTTAGACAGACACGCTGTCCTGCAGACACTAAATCCCCTCTGTGATGTTTGTGTGAGGGGTTTCCCAAGAGATGGGAACGCCCTAAAAGAAGGAGGAATCACTGATCAAAAATATTGACTTCCAAAAGCAATAAGCCTGTACAATACCTCACCTCTGGCAAGCAGGAAACTCCCGGCTCCATAGTTTCTTTAATTTATTCTAAACAAAGTTTTTCCTCCCTTCCATAACCCCTGAAAATGTGTACATAATTTGACCTCTTTGTGTTCAATTTTGTGTACTTTGCACACTTTATAATATAAATATTCTATGTTTATAGTTGATTTGGTAATAGGCTAATCTGTTACAGTGATTTCTCAATTATTCTGTATATTTTTATATTGTGTATTTGTATAATGTAAACCCAGAAGATACTCTATAGATATACAACTTTCTATTGATAACAACATACTTTTATTTTTGGGATTAATAAAGTGTATCTAATCTAATCTGACCTCTGAGCTGAATCTAAGAGAAAATCATTATAATTAGATTTCATTTTACAACACAAGATGTCGTAAAGATAAACAGAAGTGGACAATCTGATTAACATTCTATGACGTTTCCTTCCTCTCCCCTTGCAGTGCTTTGTGGCCTCCCGCCCAGTGTGGATAATGCCTTCCTGATTGGTCGGAAACGCTCCCACTACGACATCCACTCAGTAGCGCGTTACCAGTGCGCCGACGGCTTCCTGCAGCGCCACGTGCCCACAGCCAAGTGCCGCGCCAACGGGAAGTGGGACCAGCCCAAAATCATCTGCACAAAATGTAAGTTTAGACTTCCACTTAGAGCAGTGTTTCCATTTGGCGGGTCCTTTTTGCATTTATATTTGTAGTTGTTAGCATAAACACCACCATAGGTAGAGTAGACGAACCTCCTACGCTCACTGCCTTCGGGAGCTGCTGTCACCTTGCTAATTCAGGCTCTTCTTCCCTCATTATGAATAATTGCAAGCAAAAAGATGAATGTGGTGCAGACTTGATGAATTTCCCCTGGCCTTACTTAGAAGTGGTAGCATTCTCTTTGAAGTGCTCTATGCTTAAGGTAGGTTCTTTTTTTTCAAACTTTTACACAAATGATTTGCAACCGGTGACCGTCTCCTACTGAGAAAGGAAGTGTGGTAAAAATAGAAACATATCATAAATGAGATTTTGTGCATAAAGAATAAAACACTTGGAAATGCAGGACATACTATCTTCAGATGTTTGTGTTCAATCACTTTTGAAGCAACCTCTTATTTTAGCTTAGTGTCTAAAAAAAGTCTTCATTATGCAACTTTCACACACCTTGGCTCCTTTGTGCCTTAAAATAAATTCCCACAATCATTTCGACAGAATAAAGGGAATACATGTCTTCACTTTTCTGCATAATTTCTTACGTCTTTCAGAGGAGATATAAAGGGTTGAGATATATAAATATTCAACAAATGGAGTCTTGTGTTTCATTCCACTCCACTCATAATGTGACAGTAATGATGAAATCCTGAAATAATGTAGCCTCTATTGAAAGTGATAACAAATGATTTTCCTTTGGACTCTTTTTTTCTCCGGACGGAGTCGTTTTCATGGCCCAGAGTTACTGTTATCATTCATTGCAGATGACATGTCTTTGTTGGGGAAATCCAGAAAGGGACAGAGAAACCTAATTTGGCAGAACACCCCGGGACCGAGCTTAGCTGAGGCTGTGTGGGTGGCTAGCTCAGTGCGCTCTCGCTAAAGGCGCCCAGTTTACTGAATGTGAGATCAAACAGATTCTGTCAGAGTTTTGTGAGCAGCTAAACCTTCTGCAAACAACAAGCGGTTCTGACCTTCCTGTTGTTGATCCAATTCCCCTCGTCGTACCTGCTTCCACCTTCCCGCGCCTGATCTGTCTGAAAGCTTGTCAGTGATTTATCTCAGTGCTCCTCCCGTTCTGACTTCTTCACTAAATCCGCCCTTTCTTTTATCCCTTCTGTCTTTCTCTGTTTTGCTCCACCAGCCCGACGAGCCCACCGCTACCGCCGCCACCACCACAAGGGGAGGAGGGAGCGCAGGAAGCACAAGAGGCACGGCCACAGAGAGGGGGGGCACCACGGGGGGGAGCAGGGCCACAACCACGCCCACGTCTGAACCAAAAACCCGCTTTCCTACTCTCTCCTCTGCTTCCAACTGCGGTTTGCCTGTCGTCCTTTTCCTCCTGCCCAATTTCCCCAAACACTACTTCACATCTTACAGCTCAAAACTCAAAGCCCCCTCCCTACACTGCACTGCCCCTTCCTCCCCCTTTAGCTCCACCCCTGGCTTTCTGAGTCAGCCTGTACCATAGTCAGCTCTAAGGCCAGCAGAGATGCTGTGAGGTGTCACCGGGACAATATCAAAAACCTTTCTTTTCTCTGTTCTCGTCTTACCTTTTTCCTTCTCCCACCTTTCCTCCAACTCGACCCAGTTACACTCCCCCCTCCGAGCTCAACGACGACCTGAAACACGGGGCTACGCTGACCTGTTTTTGAGAAAAAAAGGAAAAAACCTTTGAGATCCACACCGAACATTCTTCGGAGAGATGGTTTTAACTATAAATAGGGACGACATCACTGAAAATGCCGTGTCAGAATCAGACGAGTCAAGGGAGACATCCGTGTTGTTGACTTTGAGCCTTTTGTCTGTTGAACACATGTTATTTTTTACAAATACTCAGTGTTTATTTCTGCTGCTTTTGGTTCCTTCTTTGTAAGACATTGTACTTGACTTAAAGCGACTTCTTCTGAAACGGATGTAATAGATTTTCTTTGAATCAGAGGCAGTTGTAATTGAATTATTTGATTGTTAGCGTTGTATCTTGTTGTCAGTGTGAGACAGTTACTTTAGATCAGATGCTTAAACCCCCAGAGGAAAATGGAAAACACATTGCATATCAATTCAGTTCCATCAAACATCAGTCGCATTCAGAAGTGTCGATCTCACAGAGCTCTTGTTGTGTCAGACATCCATCCCCGACGTGTTCGAGGGTTAATTGAAACCTTTGATGTCAGTTTGTCTCAACCCAGCTCAGCAATTCTCTGTTTGCTTTGCCTTTTCTGATAGTTCGTGTCTCTGTAAGAACATGTGCTGTGACTTAATGAAGTTGATGCAGCAGGTCAAAGCTCCTCTAACTCATTGACAGAGTTTCACGTCTTTGGTCTGATAAGGAAAAATAAATGCTACCAGCCCGGCATGAGAGACACGGAGCTGGTTCTATTTCAGTAGCCGCCTCACAAGTCAGGAACAAGATATGACATGCCCAAACACATGTCTTTTTAAAATAACTATTGTGTTTAGCTGTCTTATAGAAATGTCCTAAAACAAAACTGACTCTGTAAATGAAGTGAGGTAATACTTCCCTGTTTTAGTGCTTTTTCTATTGTGTTTGAAATGTTTTAGAGTGTACCTGCTAAACGCTATCATGTACGCAGGCTAACTGTCTCTGTCTGCTGTTTGCTGCTCTTCATGTAGCCACATTCAGTTATTTACAATGTATATTGATATATACAGCTCCCTGTTTGGCTAGAAACTACCCTGATGAGAGCGGAGAATGAAAACATTCAAGTTAGGAGCCACAAAACCAAAACAATAGGACGAAAGAGGCTAAAACGCTACAAGCATTACCTTTTACATTACAATTTGTCATATGATCTTTTGTTTATATAAGCGCACTAGAGCCCTCCCTCTATTCCAGGATGAGACGGGGAACTGGCACGAAAATGAAAAGCTAATGTTGATGACACAAGGTATGAGGATGAATATCAGGCAGAAGCTGTGTGTGTGTGTGTGTGTGTGTGTGTGTGTGTGTGTGTGTGTGTGTGTGTGTGTGTGTGTGTGTGTGTGTGTGTGTGTGTGTGTGTGTGTGTGTGTGTGGTGTGTGTGTGTGTGTGTGTGTGTGTGTGTGTGTGTGTGTGGTGTGTGTTTGTGTGTGTGTGGTGTGTGTGTGTGTGTGGTGTGTGTGTGTGTGTGTGTGTGTTTGTGTGTTGTGTGTGTGTGTGTGTGTGTGTGTGTGTGCGTGCGAAGCGTGTTGACAGTGGCTGAGGTCCCAGAGGATGATGATAGAGAGGGTCGGCAGAGATTAAGGTTTCCCATTTCTGGGGGCGACACCTGTGCTCGCTCCTCTGCGTGTCCTGCTTTAAAGCGAGGATCCAGACGGATAAAACAAGCGCTTTGCTCTCCTCCTCTTTCCCTTTTTACTGCGGGTTAAATTGGTGTTTTTTAAAGCCAGCACTTGAGGTTAAGGCTGCTGGGATTATGTCCCAAACACTGACTCCAGCACCTTTATCCTTTCAGCTTCTCCTCTCTTGCTTTTTGCTTCTCCTCGTCTCACTTTACTGCTTTTCATTTATCTTCCCCACTCGACATTCTTTTCACTGTCGATGAGTTTTTACAATAGAAAAGTAGCAGAAGGACTTAAATCCAGTTTTACCAGCTCTTTATTGGTGTAAGACTAACGTTGGTGTTGCTCAGCCTCGTTTCATGTCTCTCATAAAGAGAACAGGATCGGGTTATATAAAGCCGCTTGAGGGAAGAAATTCCACCCTGCGCGCATGAATTCCCTTCCTTTGTTTGTCCCTCCTCACCTTGGCAATGACAACGTTCCAACCTCACGGAGAAGAGTGAACCTACACCTCCGTATCAGGTTAATTAATCTGCTGCATGCCTAATTAACAAGTTACATTATCTGCAGAGCTGTGGTGACGGGGGAAGGGTTAGGGTGACGGACAGGAGACCCAGAGAACTGTCACAGCCGTCTGTCGTCTGAGATGTCAGGCTGCAACGGACCCCTTTTTTTTTTCTATCTGTCATGAAAAATGGATGGAGCACTGGTAGTTGAATGAAAGGGCAGACAGAAGCCCCTCTCACTGTTATTCAAATCAGAGCAGATGTCAAGAGACAGTGTCATTACTGCTGTGTAAAGATTCAGCTGTGTGACTTTTAAAACTTTCCAAAACATTATGGAGTGAAAAGCAGAATTTTGGCCGGATATAAAATATAATAAAATTGGACAACTAATGAGCTAAGATAAAAAAATAATCTTTGTTTATATTTAAGTGAGCAACTAAAGTTGAATCTGCTGTTATAGCTTGTCTTCTACTTCTGCAAAGATTTCGAGCTTTCTAAAAAGACACCACAGATCTATGCTTAATAAGTTGTTATGAAAAGATTTCCCTCAGATGATGCATTCTTTTTTTTTTATTAAACTCTAAAAAGTTTGACTTCTACAACAAAGGAGCCTAAATGTGTGTGTGGGCTGTGTTGTGTTGTTTGCTTTTGGCCCATCCTCTGGGACTGCTATGTTGTTTTCTCTTTCTCTTGCTTTTCTTAAAAATGCCAACCTTTTCCTCACAGCTTCTATCCAACACTCTTTTCATTGAATTAATGCAAACACACACACTTCCACACACTCATTTCTGCTCTTCAAACTTCAAACACATTGACCCTCGCGCTCAGAAGTGTCCTTGCTTTTCCTCCTTTTCATCTCCTTGGCTCGCTCCCCTCTCCTCTCCTCTCGGTCTCTCTCGCCCTGAGGGCAGCAGATACACAGAGACCGGGCTTTGTAATTGTGACTCTTAATTGTGAAGATGAGTGACTTACCGGAGGCTTCTGCCAGCTGAACCCCGGCTCTGCAGCCTGAGGGGAGCAGCAGGCCAACCATTGGACGCCTCTGCAGCCAGCAGGCCTCTCCTCGGGCTCTGCCACCTCTCCTAACTGTGAACGGGTTATTCCCCTTACTCACAGCTCAAGTATTCAGCAGAGAGGAGATAACTGTGTGACTGGTTTACCCTCTAGATAGCACCGACGGGAGCACAGCTTGTTTAAATTAGTTGTAAATGTGTGTCTGGTTGCATCATTGTCACAGAATTTACTTTGGGTGTGCTTGTGTCTCAACAGCAGGTATTTGCAGCATTCATTAATATTAATATAATACTGAACAACACAACAAATACAAAATGTCATAGTGAGAGGAAAAACTTGGAAGAGGGTTATACAACTCTGACTTAAAACCTCAGTGTGAAATTAAATATTAGAGAACAACAACAAAAAACTAATTAGACCTCCTCGAAGTGAATAACAAGTACCTTCCAGGCATAAATGAAGAGAACTTGAGAGAAGATCACAATCAGCAGAGTGATGAATGTGTTTGTGTTTTTATATCACTTGATTTTCTTTGTGATGTTGATTTGACAATGGTCACTGTTAGGTTAACACAATGCAAAAAGCTCGGGGCTCTTGATGCAGTGTGTGGATACTTTGCCTGATTCACATCTTTAAATAGATGAAATGCAAGCGAGTGGAAATTGATCGATGGTTAAGCCCCCTTCATTGTTTTCAATGTAGTTCAACTTTAGTTTCTCTCATGGGAAAATATCTGTTTGATAATAGTGGAAGATTAACCACTGAAAACGTGTGTATACTTTGAAAAAATAAGCCTTACAGACAGGCGTTACTCTTAGCTCCTGTGGCTGTAATTATAACGCCACACTCTTTGTCTGACAAACAAAAAGATCGATTTCTTGTTTTACCATTGGCATTTTTAAAAATTCTTTCAGTTTAAGAGAAATGGCTTTGTGTTTGGCAAAAGTAAAACGAAGGTAGCTGGGATGAAACATTTTAGGAAAGAGGAATAGAGAGAAAGCATCCAAAATCAATGGTGGATATGCCAGTCGGGAACAGGGTTTTCTTCTTCTTCTTTAGTTCTTATTTTAGCAAAATCTCTAACCCTCAGTTTGAAGTAACGTCAGGTTACAACTGTTTGTACTAAGCTAGTTAGCTGAACATGCTAACGAATGCATCTGAAGTCTGAGTGAACAAAGAAACCCCATTCCTTACATTGTGTCTCATCTTTATCATCAAGAGAAATAAGTGACACATGGAACATTTCTGTGTGTATGTGTGCGGGCCTTTGTGCAAACAGTGTTAAATCAAACTGAGAATCTCACGTGAACTGTAACAACTGTCAGTGACTGTACACCTGATGCATTAAAATGCTCCTCTCATCGCCAATGACAACCTGATAAGAGCGGTGAGGGCTGCTGTCCTCAGTCGCACACAGACACACTATTGATTTCATGATTACGCTGTCTGTCTTGGCTTTCTATTAAGTCTGTCGATGGCATTGACGGCACAATAGCGGCGACTGACCGCTGCACGTTTTCAAAAAGACACCGACTGCTAATGCTGCCTTTTGCTTCATTTGCATCATTATCCTCATCCCATCAGACTAAACAAAATTATTGTTCAACCTGTTGACATCGCCTCTTCACTGTTCAGCATCTAAAGCACAGTGCTGTTTCGTCTCTCTCTGAAATTGAGCTGAGACGATTTATCATTGAGGAGAAACCGTCTGCATTCTGCTGGGATGGATGAATGGGAAGATGTTTCAGTGAGAGAATGAGAAATGAAAGAGACAAACGCAGAGCAGAAATCAATGACCCACTCCTTCTCCTCTGTGATGTAAATACTATGAGGTTTTCCTTTTTTAGAAAATCCATTTAGACTCTGGGTGTGTTTTTTGCGTATAGCCTCTGTGGACCATATTCATGCAGCCTCAGTGGATCCAAAAAGAGGCATCTCCCTCCTGTAGTTTCTCCCTTCTGCTCACACACCCTGCTGTTTTTAACCGCTGCATCAGTAAGACAAAACAAAGACATTCAACACACACTGCAGGATATCCAGAAGTGAGATGATGCTTCACGCAGCAGAGAAATATCACTTCTTTGGCTCTTTTCCCCGCACGACATTCTGCAGCTTCCTGTGTGTTCATGTCGACTGTGATCCCAGACAAATATAACAGCAACTGAGCCCGTCTACGGCTGTGTGAAGGTGGTCCACAAGTATTTATCCATATTTATTGATGTGTGTTCTTTATGAATTCCAGTCCTGTCATTGTATTATATTCTTTACAAGACAAATGATCATTAAAGAAACCCTTGTTTGGATCTGTAACCTGTCTTTGTTGGAGTGATTATTTCTGTTCATGTAAAGCCAGTATGTGTAGAAGTGTGTGTGTCATTAAGTCTTCCTTTAAATCAAAATTGTTTTTTTTAGGTAGAAAAGTTAGATAATGCTAAGGTACCAGTGTGCAATGAACGATGAGTGCAGTGACTTTATTTGTAAGAAAAAACCTTGACAGTTTTCTAACTTATACAACAAATCAATCCAAGTTTAAAACCTGGAGCCACTTGAAGGCCAACCATTTGAAATGATTAGGTGTTGAAAAAGAAACACCAAGGGCAGTAATCCTCAGTCCACACATACATCTGAGTTGTTTGTTAAAAGTTTGTTTAAAAGTGTCCTCTCCTCTCTCGATCATCCGATCCTCCGCCTTACAGTCTCGCTCTAAGCTTCTGAATCTGCAGCCAGAAAACAATCTGACCTTCAAGTGTTCAGGTCCAGGAGATGCGTTTCCAAAGCTCTTTGGATTAGGGGAAACATTTTTGTACAGCCAAGATATCAATAACATGAATAATATGTAGCTCACATTTCCAGATAGGAAAGAGGAGAGAGTAAGTGAGAGCGATCAAAGGGAAGAGGAAAGAAGGGAAGAGGGCACAGGAGGGGAGGAAAGAGATTCTGTTTTGGCAGCAAACAGGTTTGTGAATACGCCTACTGTTGTACCGTCTAACCTCGGAGACCTTCACTTCTCATGAACTTCCTCTGATGAGCTGAATATGAGAGTCTCTTATCAACGGATGGTTTCATTGCCTCACAGCTCTGTCTGCTGTAAAACACAACCTCCTCTCTCTCTCTCTCTCTCTCTCTCTCTCTCTCTAACACACACACACACACTCTCCTTGCCTC